TTTCTCCCTTTCGAGATATAAAGCATCAGAGATTTAGCATTCTGGCCCCTTTTGGCCCCTAATTATGTACCATACGACATGAAAATCATAATATATAGTTGGAGATGGTTGAGATAAAGATCTTTGCTTCAGTAATGTATTACAAAATATTAACTGATAAAGAGTTATGGAAAAAAGACTTTTGGCCCCTTTTGGCCCCTAATTCGAGTGCCAAGCCCCTATTTCGGGATCTCATCTTGAAGGTCTTAAGATTTTGAACATTTTGTGTTCAATAATTGTTTAGAAATTCTTATTCGTTTTTGAGCTATTAGCAAAAGAAAGTTTTAGGGGCCATCCCTTCAACTCCTTAATGGGGACGTTTAGCAAAAAATGAAAGGTTGCATATTGTTTAGAACATTATTTTGAACATATTTCGTTCAATATTGCTTATCAAAATATTTCTCCCTTTCGAGATATAAAGCATCAAAGATTTAGCATTCTGGCCCCTTGTGGCCCCTAATTATGTACCACATGATATGAATATCATAATATATGGTTGTAGATTGTTAAGCTCAACATTTTTTGTTCAGAAACATATACCAAAATATTGATTGTTAAAGAGTTATCGATTAAAGACTTTTGGCCCCTTTTTGCCCTTAATGTGATGAGTCAGCGCTTTTTCCTTGGTATAATATGAAAGATCTCGATGTTTTGCACAAATTATGTTCAGTATGTTTTAACAAAATAATTATACTTTAAAAGATATGAAGCAAAATGTCTTAAAAAATCAGTCATGATTCGTGTCCTAAATTTTGACCCCTACCGAACTTCAATACTAGGCACTTCCGGAAAATTTCCTGACCCAGGTGCAACATGGCAACATGTCCTCTATTATCACTGAAAATTTCAGCGCTCTAGCTTGAGCCGTTATTGAGTTCTGTCACAGACACGGAGGTCATCTGAATTTTAAGAAAAGGGCGATAACTCTAGACCGGAAGTGATTTTCAAAAAATCCTTCGGCCGAAATTAACTTCAGATAATTGTGCACCAACCCTGAAAATTTGAAACAAATCGATTGAAAAATCTCTGAGGAATCGTCGGCACAAAATTTGTGCAGAAAAAAAGAATAATAATAACTAGATACGATCTCGTTGCGAGCAACGAGTGGGTCTTCCGTCCAATTCTTGATGAGATGAGATAGGATTTTGATTGCGATTTTCATTCTAAAATAATGATTTACCACAATCTGTAAAAAGACATTGATCATCATTAAAGACTTAAGAAATCGACCTTTTTCCCCTAACGGCCCCTAATTTTAGGAACTGGCCCTTTTTATTCATATCATCTTAAAACTCATATGATTTTGAACATTTTTTGTTCAATAACGATTCAGAAATTCTTTTTCGATTTTGAGCTATTAGCAAAAGAAATATGTAGGGGCCAACCCTCCAACTCCTTAATGGGGACGTTAAGCAAAACATAAAAGATTGTATATTGTTCAGAACATGATTTTGAACATCTTTTGTTCAATATTGCTTATCAAGATATTTCTCCCTTTTGAGATATAAAGCATCGAAGATTAAGCATTCTGGCCCCTTGTGGCCCCTAATTATGTACAATACGACAAAAAAATCATAGTATATAGTTGTAGATGGTTTAGATAATCATCTTTGCTTCAGTTATATATTACAAAATATTAATTGATAAAGAGGTATCTATTGAAGACTTTTGGCCCCTCTTGGCCCCTAATTCGAGTGCCCAGCCCCTATTTTGAGATCTCATCTTAAAGATCTTAATATTTTGAACATTTTTTGTTCAATAACTATTCAGAAATTCTTTTTTTCATTTTTGAGCTATTAGCAAAAGAGATATTTAGGAGCCAACCCTTCAACTCCTTAATGGGGACGTTTAGCGAAAAATGTAAGATTGCATATTGTGTAGAACATTATTTTGAACAACTTTTGTTCAATATTGCTTATCAAAATATTTCTCCCTTTCGAGATATAGAGCATCAAAGATTTAGCATTTTGGCCCCTTGTGGACCCTAATTATGTACCAAACCAAAGAAAAACCATAATATAAAGTTGTAGATGGTTGAGATAAAGATATTTGCTTCAATAATGTATTACAAAATATTAACTGATAAAGAGTTATGGAAAAAAGACTTTTGGCCCCTCTTGGCCCCTAAATCAAGTGCCCAGCCCCTTTTCTTGGATCTCATCTTTAAGACCTTAGGATTTTGAACATTTTTTGTTCAACAACTGTTCAGAAATTCTTTTTCGTTTTTGAGCTATAAGCAAAAGATATAATTAGGGGCCAACCCTTCAACTCCTTAATGGGGACGTTTAGCAAAAAATGAAAGGTTGCATATTGTTCAGAACATGATTTTGAACATCTTTTGTTCAATTTTACTTGTCAAAATATTTCTCACTTTCGAGATATAAAGCGTCAAAGATTTAGCATTCTGGCCCCTTTTGGCCCCTAATCGTGTAATATACGACATTAAAATCATAATGTACAGTGGTAGATTGTTGAGATTAACATTTTTGCTTCAGTAATGTATAAGAAAATATTGACTGTTAAAGAGTTATCGAAAGAAAACTTTTAGCCCCTTTTGGCCCCTAATTTGAGTGTCCAGCCCCTTTTTGTTGATATCATCTTGAAGGTCTTAAAATTTTAAAAAAATTTTGTTCAACAACTATTCAGAGATTCTTTACCGTTTTCGAGTTTTTTGCATGAGAAATATTTAAGGGCCAACCCTTCAACTCCCTAATGGGGACTTTTAGCGAAAAATGAAAGGCTTCATATTGTTCAGAACGTGATTTTGAACATCTTTTGTTCAGTATTACTTGTCAAAATATTTCTCACTTTCGAGATATAAAGCGTCAAAGATTTAGCATTCTGGCCCCTTTTGGCCCCTTATCATGTATTATACGACATTAAAATCACAATATATAGTTGTAAAATGTTGAGATAAACATTTTTGCTTCAGTAATGTATAACAAAATAATAACTGTTAAAGAGTTATCGAAAATAGACTTTTAGCCCCTTTTGGCCCCTAATGTGATGAGTCAGCACTTTTTTCTTGATATCATTTTAAAGATCTTGACATTCTGCACAAATTTTGTTCAGTATGTTTTAACAAAATAATTATACTTTTAAAGATATGATGCAAAATGTCTTTAAAAATCAGTCATGATTCGTGTCCTAAATTTTGACCCCTACCGAGCTTCCATACTAGACACTTCCAGAAAATTTAAAAACCCAGGTGCACAACTACAACATGTCCTCTACTATCACTAAAAATTTCAACCCTCTAGCTTTTGTGGTTCTTGAGTTTTTGTGTCGACAAAATGGTCACTAAAAATTCGATAAAAGGGCGATAACTTCTTACCGGAAGTGACTTTTCAGAAACGAAAGTGCCGGAATTAACTTCAGATAAAGATGCATCAACCCTGAAAATTTGAACAAAATTGAACAAGCCATCTCCGAGAAATCCTCTGCACAAAATTTGTAAAGAAAAGAAAAAAGAACTAGATACGATCTCGTTGCGAGCAACGAGTGGGTCTTCCGTCCAATTCTTGATAAGATGAGATAAGATTTTGATCAAGATTTTCATTAAAAGATCTGTACCACAATCTGTAAAAAGACATTGAACATTAAAGACTTAAAAAAATCGGCTTTTGGCCCCTTAACGACCCCTAATTGTAGGAATCAGCCCTTTTTTTCATGTCATCTAAAAGCCCTTAGGATTTCGATCACTTTTTGTTTAACAACTGTTTAGAAATTCTTTTCGTTTTTTGAGCTATTAGCAAAAGAAATATTTAGGGGCAAACTCTTCAACTCCTTAATGGGGACGTTTAGCAAAAAATGAAAGGTTGCATATGTCCAGAACATTATTTAGAACATTCTTTGTTCAATATTGCTTCTCAAAATATTTCTGCCTTTCGATATACAAAGCATCAAAGATTTTGCATTCTGGCCCCTTGTGGCCCCTAATTATTTAACATACGACATTAAAATCATCGCTGAAAATTTCAGCTCTGTAGCTAATGTCGTTTTTGAGTTTACTCATGGACAAGGAGACCCTCTAAAAATCGCTGAAAGGACGATAACTTCTGACCGGAAGTGAATTTCGAAAAAACGAAAAAAAAAATATAAGGTTTAGATAAAGATACATCATCTCTGAAATTTTCAAGTAAATCGGTCGAGCCATCTCCGAGAAATCTTCTGCACAAAAATTGTAAAGAAAAAGGAAGAAGAATAATAACTAGATACGATCTCGTTGCGAGCAACGAGTGGGTCTTCCGTCCGATTCTGAAGTAATAAACAAAAAATGGTGATAAAAAAATTGGACATTCGGGGGAGCGAACCCGGGTCGCCCGCGTGACAATCCGACGTGCTAACCATTCAGCCATTGAAAACACCGCTTCAAATTTTTAAATACGAAAATCTCGAGATTGCCTTTTTCGATTCAAAACAAATTACATATTTCGCATTCGCAAAAGAGTCACTTTTAAGATGTCTAATAAGGAGTGGGACTTAAAATGAATGGAATACGTGGAAAACAGATGTTTTAAGGGTTTCAATTATAGGTCAAAGCTAGGTCACAGTTGAGGTCACATAATCAAAAATTTCTGTACTAGTGAAAAGCTCTTGTCATAATGAACAATCATGCAAAATAATATTTTCCTTACCCTTCAATACACAATAGATATTGCTAGCTATACTGTCAATTAAAACTTAATTAACATCAGTAAAGAGCACACAATTTGGAATTCTTTCTCCCTTTATTTTATTTCTTCACAAAACACTCAAAAGGTCATATTGTGATACATTTATATAAATATCATAATGTAATCTGTGGGGTAAGTTTGTGACCTAGTTTTATTTGATATGGTATAGGATGAAATCTTTATAGTAATTAATGTCGATCTCGACTCGCCTTTACATCATTTACAATTTGCAAAAAAGGTTTATTGGATACCTGGTCACTCAAAAACTATCTATTACATTGTAACAATGCTGAATTATTGATGCCCTGTAGTGATCATATACAAAATGTATATATACAGCTGTACCATTTATGAAAAATAAATTATAATTGATTATTTTAAATATCTATTACAGTTGCAATAGAGCGATATTTTGACTCTATTGCTCAAAAGCAGCATAAAGAGAAGACGGGAAAAGTGCAACAACACAAATCCAAGATGGTCCTTTACAGTAGAAGAAAAAGGGTATGATATATATTTCATAGACGTGAAGCTTCTAGAAAATAATCTTTGATGTAATGTTTAAACTAATGTATTATTAAATTTTCAAAATTTGATTAATTTAATTAAGTAGACATTAAATGATCTGATCAAAGTGTTTTCATTCCAATATTAACATAATTATTTAAAATAAAAGTAATTTGAAAGCTTATACATTTTAAAAGTCTTGTTTATATGTAGAAATTACAGTGGAGAAAATCTATGGTTGAGAGAAAAAGTGGGTGGGATGAGGTGAGGAAAAGAAAGATCACAGAAGCATTAGAATTATCTTACATGTCCTCCGAGGAAGAGGTTGTCAGTGATGACGAACAGATTTTTATTGTTAAACCTCTTCCTTGGAGGTCTGAAGAATATAATAAGTACATGGAAGATCTTGATTCAAAGTATGAACGGAATCAATCTAGTCGCTCAAAGCGACAGATGATCAAGAGGGTAAAGGGTGACATCCCTTCTATCAGACCTAAACCGACTCATGTGAAAGAGGGACATGAGTGGGTAGTTAACTAAATTATATCTTTTTCCCGGATTTCTATGTAGTGCATATAACATATGGATATTCCCTTTCAATTTTTTTCTGATAATTCATTGATACAAATATCTTCAAAAGTAGGTTTGATTTTTGGTTGATATCTAGGGGTTTATTTAATTTATGAGAGTTGATTTTATAATTATTACTATTGTTAAAATTATAAAAGACATAGCCTCTTGATCATCTGTTGAGAAGGACTTTATATTTTATGTTGACAATGTTGGCATGCTGCACACTTTTTCATTTTTTTGTGGGGGGGGGGGGGGGGGTTGTAGATTGGTATCTAGTTGTGTTTTTCATAAACACATCAACTTTATTTCAAGAAAAGCTATATGTGGTTAATTTTTTTTGCAACCTTTTAATTAAATTTCAAACCATCGTTTATTTACATTACCTATTGTTCATAACTAATTCAATTATTTAATTTTTAAACTTTATAGCTATTATTTTTGGTCTCATTTACAATACATGTTTAAGTTCTAAATATTGATATTTCTTAGTTTTGTTCAAGGGTCACAAAACACAATTTTGCACAAAAACAATGATGTCATTTTTGACATTGTGTTATTATATGAAGATTTTCGTGTTTGTAACCTTTAATGAATGTGGTTTCTTCGATCTAATTCAGATAAGATGTTAGATCTGCTTGCATAATTGTTTCACTAACAACAAACAAAATCCCATTATGGGTCACGTCAAACGTCAAATTTTATCAACCAATCAAATCAATGCCTGCAAAATCATTTTATATTGTTGAAGCAAATAAGTCTAGAGCTGAAGAGAAAAGGTGTAATAAAATATTTTATATCTTAAATGATTTCTTGTGTACGCCTTGGCATCTATTATAAACAGAATGTAGAACCAAACCCAAAATCGACAGCTACTTTGCGTACAGTCATGTAGACTACCGTGTACTGCACAGACTACATTGTTTGTAATGTCTTATTACAGTGATCAAGTTGTATCTTACCTGGAGATAGAAAAACATGTGGAAAACGTCACGTGGAAGAACATAAATGTGAAATCTCACGTAAACATGGGATTTAATTCGATCTAAATTTGGCGTTTATGTTGGGTAAAATTGTATTATTAGTGAAATTTCACGTAAAATGACATTTACCAACACTTTAAACATGACCTAGATTGGGGTAAAATGCTACATTAAATGTGCAATTTTACGTAAAATGAAATTTAATTCTACTAAACATGACGTATAAATGGAGTAAAATACCTATATTAAATGTGAAACTTTACGTAAAACGACGTTTAATATTCAGCTAAACATGAGGTATAATTGGAGTAAAAATCATGTATAATAAATTTATAAACTTGAAATTTAATAGGATTTAATCGTTTATTTTACGTGACGTATCATTGAAGTAAAATTTTAAAATTAAATGTCATTAAATTTCGGCGTTTAAAAAAAAATTTTACCCCAAGGTAAACTCAAATTAAATTACAAATATAATTCAATATTAAATTCTTATTATACCCCCCGCAAACGAAGTTGGGGGGGGGTATATAGGAATGACCTTGTCCGTCTGTCTGTCTGTGCGTCTGTCTGTGCAATGTGTCTGGCCCATATCTTTCTTACAGAGGGACATAAGAATCTACTACTCTACACTAAGATTGCCCATGACCCAAGGGTGTGTCATGAGCTTGACCCGAAGGTCATTAGGGAAAGTTCCAAGGTCACTGGAAGAAAAAATTCATAATTCGTGTCCGGTCCATATTTTTCTTATCGATAAACTTGGTAGGTTCTCATTTCACACAGAGATTGCCCATGACCCAAGGGTGTGTCGTGACCTTGACCCAAGGTCATTTGGGGAAGTTCAAGGTCACTGGGAGAAAAATTTCAAAATTCATGTTTGGTATATATTTTTATGGATAAACTTGGTATGTTATTATTTCACACCAAGATTACATATGTACCCATGATGCAAGGGTGTGTCGTGACCTTGACCCAAGGTCATTTGGGGAAGTTCAAGGTCACTGGAAGAAAAATTTCATAATGCCTGTCCGTTCCATATCTTTCTTACGGATAGACTTGGTAGGTTCTCATTATACCCCCGCAAACGAAGTTTAGGGGGGTATATTGGAATCACCATGTCCGTCTGTCTGTAGACAAGATTTTGTCCGGACCATTTCTCAGAAACTGTTGGATGGATTTGTCTGAAAATTTATACACTTATTATTCACCATATTAAGGTGTGCACCTGGGATTTTCATCATGATTGGATGATTTTTCTGCATTTTACAGGTGTTTTTTCTTTTTTATTTTGTGATTTTGTTTGGCCCATAACTAGAAAACTATTAGACCTACAATCATCAAACTTGGACAATTTATGCATCTTGGGTAGACAGTGTGTCCCAACCTATTTCAAGGTCACTCTGACCTTTAATTTTAAGTGATTTTAAAAAAAAACTAAGTCTTTAAAATTTTAAATTTCATAATCCTAAAAAATGTAAAAATATGGTTGTATCCTTATTAAAAAATGCTAAATTAATTAAAAACTTATTTTTTATGATATACTTTACAGCAAATTCTGTAACAAATGTTAATGATTTGAGAGGAATTCAGTTTGTCTCATGGGCATAATTATCAAGCACTGGTCAAGGAGAATATTTGATAGCAGAAATGTGCATGTCAAATTAGAGAGAAATTAATGAGTTCATTGTCGGGAGTTAACTGGCAAGAGCATCATGCAGTATAATCTTATTCATCTCTTGGGAGTTGGGCAAAAAGAAATGGCCTTATAGTTGCTTGTGTTAATTAAGAGTTCTTGATGGGTGTAGTTCAGATAAAGATCTTTCAATTGGTGTAATGTAATTAAAACAAATTGATGTTTTAGTGTATGATTAAAACTGAATTAGTATTGTATACATGTAATATAATTAATATTAATTATACATGTGTTCATTGATAAAAAATTACATTTCAATTTTTTTATATACTGAGAACAAATTGCAGTCATGTCTCACTTAGAAGTTTATAGTCTAAAGAACAATTAATTTTTGATTTTTTTTATTAGACTATAGCATTTCCATTATTTCTTAAAATATGCAATAAACAATTTAAAGCTGCAGATGGATATTTGTTAAGCTCTAACACAGCCAGTTTAGAATTATGTGATGTATTATTTGTCTTAATTAATCCCTACACTACAAGTCTCTGATGATGTATGTACAATATTTCAAACATGATAAGAAATGGAAATTAGACCATCGAAATCTGTGTCAATCTGTAAATCAAGGTTACTTGATTTTCTTGCACCCTAACCAATTTATGATTATCGAACAATATTTGATGGGCGTATCATGCTGTGGGAGGGCACTTTATTAGACAATAGTGAACATCTCGTACTAGGTCCATAAAATATTTCTGAATTGGCACCTACTCTGAAAAACCCAGCGGGGGTATTTGTCCCTATTGGACAGTTCTAGTTTAACACAAAGATTGCCAATGACCCAAGGGTGTGTCATTTGGGAAAGTTCAAGGTCACTGGAAGAAAAAATTCATAATTCGTGTCCGGTCCATATTTTTCTTATCGAAAAATTTGGTAGGTTCTCATTTAACACAAAGATTGCCAATGACCCAAGGATGTGTCATGACCTTGACCCAAGGTCATTTGGGGAAGTTCAAGGTCACTTGAAGAAAAATTTCATAATTCGTGTCCAGTCCATATCTTTCTTATTGATTAACTTGGTAGGTTCTCATTTCAAATAAAGATTGCCCATGACCCAAAGGTGTGTCTTGACCTTGACCCAAGGTGATTTGGGGAAGTTCAAAGTCACTGAAAAATTTCATAATTTTTGTTTGATACATATCTTTATTATGGAAAAACGTACCTCTGAAAAACCCAGCGGGGGGTTTTGTCCCGTTTGGACAGTTCTAGTTATACGCTGAAACTTGGCGTTTAATTGGGGATTAACTGACATATAATTTTACATTAAACGCAATTTTTCGTGCAGTGAGGGGAACAAATTTTATTGAAGCTGTGGACGACCTTCATGTGAATGCCATCAATGTTGAAGACACTGTAATGAAGGCTTACCTGAAGAAGAACAGAGCAACCTGGTTGTTTAATGCCCCTCATGTGTCACATATGGGAGGTGTGTGGGAAAGAGTTGTAGGTAGTTCTGAAGGATCTTAGACTCTATGGTGCTTCAAGACGGAGGCAAGGAATTGACACATGAAATACTATTCCCATTTTTGGCGGAGGTATGCGCCATACTTAACTCTCGCCCGATGGCGCTTAATACAGACCCGCCATGGTGCTGAATCCAAATGTACTATTGACCCAGAAGCAGGGAGAAATTGGATCGTTCTCGGGAACATTTGGGTATCAAGGACATGTTCAGAGCCAGCTGAAAACATGTTCAGGTGCTGTCTGATATGTTTTGGAAGAAGTGGCACGTTGCGTGCTTAGACAGTTTACAGAAGAGACAGAAGTGGTACTCGAACACAGAGAATCTCAAGACTGGAGATGTACTCTTGCGTGAGAAGAATGTCTATAAGAATCTGTGGCCGATGGGGATAATCGAGCAACGATGCCATGGTTCGGAAAGCTGTGGAAAGCTGTCGCCAAGGACAGGAAGGTGTACACGCGACCGACAACTGAGATGATTCTCTTACTTGAGCAGTAACCGTATGAATTACTTTATTTTAGTTATGTAGTTAATAGTTCGAGATTTTTGTCCATTTTATTTAGTGAATAGTTATATCTTTGATATAAGACAGGGAGTGTAGTGTCCGCGAATCAGTTAAGGTATGACTTGTTTTGGAGTCTACAGGATATTTCCGGATTTGCAGATTTGTTTTGTGTATTAGATTTAAATTCTCCCTGCTGGCGTCTGATGTAGGCGCTGTTTGCAGCTACAACTAAAATATTTTGTATTAATTGTCCATCCGGCCAAGAGCACGTTGTAAGTTTATTGCCTGACGTCACGGCGTCAGGCTGTATAAGGGTTGATAATTGCTTGATCCGAAAATAATAGATTGTACCCAGAGAGCTAGATTTTGTGCAAGCTGATTTACATTGGAAATCTTTTCCTGCATTTTAAAAGAAACTTTTCTTCAGGGAAACAATGATTTTTCTGATGCAAAATAATGCAGTATTTACTTTGTTTACTCTGTTTGCATGAAACAGATTATTCCATGTGATTAACCGTTTCAACGTGTCCGTGTATCTTTTTTTTCTGCATTTCTATCCTACTGGATCAGTCCATTTATGTTCTACTAATGGGGT